CCTTCCAGCCCTGCAGTTCTAAGATCATTGTCGTTATGAGAAGCCAGGGTGTGCGGGGAAGTAGAAGTGTTGTGCTCTGACTGTGAGGAAGATGGGCCTCATTGGGGTTGTTTCCTTTGGGAGGGGCAAGTGGGATTCTCACAGGGGCCGAGAATCACCCATGAGATTTAAGCCAATTACGATGATGGGTGTAAGTAAGAAGCCCACATCCTCTTGCTTATACCCACCGTTGCAGTGCAACTGGTGTAAATCTTATTGGTGAACAGTAGGAAGTTAAGAAGTTAGAGCAAGCATCGCCTGTCGTTGACAAAGCCTTTGCCACTTGGGCATAGCATCAAAGCTCCATAGGAATTTGGCCTTTACACTTTTAAATGCATATCCCAAAGTGAACAGACCCTAAAAACCCTACATTTCACTACTTGGGAGTTTTCATTGGGATCAGAAAACATGCCATCGGTCCCTGAGGACACCTTCTGAGGGTTAAAAGGATGGGGGAGCAGGGCAGGCAAAAGACGCACAGAAGCCCGAGGCAGAAAAAATGCTAAATAGGGAACGTTCTAAACATGAAACAAACACCGCTGGAGTGAAGCAGGGACGTTCACCTGCACAAAACCTCACGGAGGCACCTGATGCTGCACAGGAGTTGCACCAAATGAAGAATAATAGCCAGCAAAAAATACGATTAAAATTTAAAAAAGGAACTTTCCGAGCCACATCTTCCCACACAGGTTTAAGCCTCATGGAAGGCTACTCCATTGAGTGATCCCGGACTCTGAAGCCAGGATCCTGTGGAGACTTTTCTTCTGGAATTGTTTTTGGAGTGAGAAAAACAAGGGTGCCACAAGAACACAACCATGCTCTCTACTCTTTATGTTCCTTCCAGGTATGTTTTTTCATATTTAGCCAGCCGCTAATGATAAGGGGTTACTGCTCGGAGTAAAGGCCACACGTGAAGCCCCCCTGACTCAGGCACAACACAGAATTGTACGATGAAGCGCAGCTGATACTCTGAATTAGTGGCAACCTGCCACGGAACTGACGTCGTTTCCCTGACGCTGGGGCAAGTTACCCAAGAGGATGGTGGCCACTGATGTACTGCAACCTGGCTTTGTTCCATAACAATGACATTCACATCTGAGGGCTTGTTCCTCCTGTGGCTAGCTTCTCCCGTGCTCTTGCCTCATCATCCTACCCACCCAGTCCTTCTTCCCCTTGAGCTTGCCACATTCCCTTACCTTATGGTGATCTCAAATATCTGGTTGAGCTTGCTCTGGAGTAGAGTCGCCTGCAATGAAAACGAACGGGGTTACAAGCACGACACCTGTCCAAGGGGTTCAGCCTGGAGGCAGGCGGTGCATGACGGCCTCTCCCAATTTGAAGGGACACATGTCCAGCAGGCCGAGGCAAAAAGGCCGTCCCGAAACCAGCAAAACCAGGGAGCTGGACAGGGGACAGATTGGATTTGTCTTCAGTGTAGAGGGGATTGTGTTACTCTCGAATTGGCCTTTTCAGCCACACTAGATGCTGTTCCAAGTCCTCCATTTGGAGCACATTCCCAAGGTTTCTGGAGACTGAAGGAGGCCTACACACCTCCAAGATTCCCCCCCTCCAGTCTAACTTTCAGAGGTTGCTGACAATGCAACTCTTCCTAAGGGCCTTTTTTTCTTTTCTTTTTTAAAAAAATTGTTAAATTCATTTTCATAGGGATAGGGGGTTATGGTACAAATAGGGTGGACCAGGTAAAATGAGGGGGAAGGAATGCTAGGAAAAGGTAAATTTCCAGAGAGTGAAAAGTATTCTTAACTCCGCGTATACAATTATATTAAAAACAGAAATCATACCAGGAGAAACAGAAAACCTTATAAAAATTTTTCAGGAACTCTTTTAAAACAGTTGGTTTTAAAAAATGTAACATTAAAAAAAATGTATTGTTCTTTTAAAAATTTGAACATGGTAATCTTTTAAAAGTTTTCACCTGTACCTTTTAAAAGTCTACCTGTACCTGTTTTAACTGCTGTGAGCCAACCTTGAGGTCCCCGTTCTGGAGGAAGGTGGGAGGATATAAACCCAATACAGAAGGGTTTGGGAGGACAAGCAGGAGACGAGAAGCCAACACCTACCCGGGCACCGCAATGGGCGGCGATTTCCTCGAAGGGCGCCTTCTGGAACTTTTCGACCACCTGCCGTCTCCTCTCTCGCTCCTGTTCCTCCACAGCAACGCTGTCAACTTAACAGATGGAGAAGAAGAGGAGAGATTACAATGGATTGCAAGACCGAAAGGATACCAGAATAAAGGGTTCAGTGTGTGTGTGTGTGTGTGTAGGATCCCTGATTGTTTGGGAGGAGGACACCAACTGTAAGTAATGAAATGTTTTTATTCCTTCTCCCACCGATGTCTTGGAGTGAGTTAATGAGACCGTAAGTGCCAGTTAATGAGAAAAGGAGTGGACGATCTGGGGAATTTCTAGCTATTTTCCTCTGTGAGTTCCTGTATTTCTACTGCAATAGCCATGGGAATTTTAGCAGAAATTCAAAACTCTGCAACAATACACAGACCGGAAAGAGAGATGCCATGATTGTTTACCCAACTTAAGATACTCACCAATGGCTTTCTTCAGCGTCTCATACGTAATCTGTTCAGCAGGTGCTCTCTTTTTGTGGGATGGGGGGAGGACGACAGAAGCAGACCGAGGATGGAAACATTAGAATTCAGGAGCTTTAAGACTGGATTGCATTTCAGATAAGAATTTCCACAAGAGAGGTTAAGTATTATAAACAACTTATAAATAATGTATTCTCGAAGGCTTTCACGGCCAGGTGGTTGTGGGTTTTCCCGAAGGCTTTCACGGCCAGGATCCAATGCTGGTTGTGGGTTTTCTGGGCCATTTGGACATGTTCTGGAGGTTTTTCTTTCTAACCGTCTCTGTAGCCGGCCTCTTCAGAGGACAGGAGTCAGAACTCCGTCTGTGTTCTGGTGTAGTGTGTGGGATGCCGGCCACAGAGACTGGCAATGCGTTACGAAGAAAAAACTCCCAGAACACGGCCAAACAGCCCGAAAAGCAACCACCATTTCTAAGAACTGCTTTTAAAGCATCCAAGTGAATGTCTCCTCTTTATAAAAGGCACTTCTTTCACTCCTTCTGAGAAACAAAAATGGCTCTACTAAACCCAGACCTCAGTCTCTGTGGCCGGCATCTTCAGAGGACAGGAGTCAGAACTCTGTGCGTGCTCTGGTGCACTTTTGTGGGATGGTACAACAAACTTATAAATATTTGGGGCTGGCACAAAGCCTCCTTAAATTGATTTTATTCATTGAATAAAGTTTACATGCCACTTTTAAGTATTAAATAAAAAAAATTCATCTCCCAACATTTCCGTCCCTTTCCCAAACCCTAACATTCCGTCTAAAGACGGAAGTAGGAGAGAAGTACATTTTTCTATAGCCCGCTTGTCTCTCTTGCCCAGGAAAGACCGTGCATAAGGCACAGAAAAGTCATACCTCTTCTCTTTCAGGGCTATTTCTCGACTCCACTTCCACCTGCAAGGAGATGGTCTCCCCGATGCTCTTCCTCTTGGACAGCCTGTCTTCGTCTGAAAGGGGGAAATCATCCTCTTATCATAGAGCTTTCCTCCTTCTCTGCCTGGCTCAGGGAGGCCAACCTAGGAGGCAGGCCAGTGGCTAGCTTTTAAGCCTTTGTCCCCTCCTAGCGCAGGAAAGCGTATTCAAAGGGACGTGAGGTTATGCCTCTGGGCAATGGGACCAGGCGAGTCCAATTCCACAGGTGCAGTGAATCCACTCCACGTTTTGCTTTCTACTTTACAGGAATATCTGTAGGCATCCTTCAATACATGGCTGTGTTGATTTTCACCACGTCTCTCTAAGCTCAATAAACCTTGGCTTGTTTGCCGGCATGAATGCATCTCTGATCTTGACGTTGCTTTCAGAGCCAGCCTCCAGAATGAGGCGAGTGCCCTGATATCAGAATGAGTTGCCCCGGGGCAAAAAATAATCACCCGCTGCACACTTTCTGCCCCATTTGATTGGAATGGATTCTCACTCAATATGTGGGATGCATGGTTCTATACAGCAAACGTGTGCACTGGCTCCGAGGTATGGTCACGTGCCATTCGAGGACACCATTAACTCTCCCGGATCTTGGGAAAGTTACTTTTTGGGATCACGACTCCCAGAATCCTTTAAATGCTGCCCAGCCAGTGAAGCTCTTCCTGGAAAACTCAAATCAGTCCTTCTTTAGTTTCTACCAGCAAGCACAGCCCATTGATTTTTAAGCAAACTTTGAAATCCCGACTGGCAGGAGAGACACTTCGAAAACTTATGATGCTCTCAGGTATGCGTGTTCTTGACATGCTCGACTGCATGTATTCCTCTTCCTCCTTCCCTCCCATCCACCCCATCACCATGCATCCCACATGCGCACCTGTCAGCTGGGGAATATAAGGGCTGCCGAGCCGGTCTGAATTATAGCCGCTTCCTCCCAGCACCTCGCTGATCTTGCTCTGCCGGAAGAGGATCTCGGGGCCCAGGCAGTCCAGGTTCCTTGAAAGTCTACGGGGTGGGACAGGAGAGGCCATGAGAAGGGTTCCCTGAGACCTAAGCCTGCGCCCCCCCATCCCCTTCGACAGGGGATGAAGGACGCAGAGAGCGAGATCCAAGCAGAAAGGAGCAAGCCACCAGGGGCGGGCTGTGCTGGAGGAAATCGGATCAGTCTTTGCTACCGCCAGACGACAGAAGCTCGCTGGTGTGTGCGAATTTCGTGACTTCCACGGGAGCGGCTCCTAGATTTCCCTTACCTGGGCTTCTCTGTAAACACGCCTTCCGGAAGCAGGTAGGGGGCCTCCTTCTGTCGCATCTCGATGACCTGGCGGAAGGAGGAAGAGCGGATCAGACGGCCAAGAGAAGCGAGTCTCAAGCCAAAGCACCCGGGCATCAGTTAAGGGACATGCATGGAGGAGCCAAGGTGGAAGTGGAGAAAGGTAAGGCCTCCACCACCAGGTGGGCAACGATACAACCCACCCTCAAAGTCTAGGTATTTCTGGAGTCAGCCAAACCATCCAGTGCAAGAAGGCAGCAGGAGAAGAGGAAGACCCAATAACACAAGATGGACGGACTCCCTGAAGGAAGCCACAGGCTTGAGTTTACAAGAGCTGAGCTGGGCAGCGGAGGACAGTAGTTTTTGGAGGTCACGCATTCATAGGGTTGCCCTAAGTTGGAGGCGACTCGATTGCACATCAGAATAACAGCAGAGAGTCAACAGAGCCCTGTCCGTATTCAAAATGTGCTTTCCATCCAATGGGGGGGGAAAGGGGGGGGAGAGATGAGCAAGGTGATATGGGAGCTGCAAAGATAAGGCCACCGTTGTGTTAGGGTCCCGTGCCACGGCTGCCACGTTCTGCTCGTGGCTGCCCGGACACGTCTGTCTGTCTGTCTGATGTGGACACAAGAATCCAGGACGAGACGCGCCTTGGGCCTGATCCAGCCGTGGGTCTCTTCATGAAAGGAACGAAGCGTTAAGGGAAGGGGGGCTGTGAACGGCCAAAGGGCCCACCTCGTGGATGTGCTGGCAGAAAGCGGGCACGGTGGTCAGCTGGCTGATGAGGTTCAGGTAGGCGGCTCCGAGCGCGTAGATGGCACAGCGGCAGTACAGAGGGAGGTCGTCCTCGCTGACCTGGGCCAGATCCTGCCAAGGGGACAGAGCCGTTACAGATCTCGAGCCCTCACCCGAGGGGGACCCCCTCTTTCAGCCCTTCCCTGATTCTCATCCTCGGCCCTTCGATCTGCTTCACGAAAACAAAACACGGTGCTTGATCGCGCAAACCACCTTTGCAATAAATAATAACCATCTTTTTTTGAAAAAAATAATACTGATTCAGGCTTTACGACAACAGATCAGATCGTGTGAACAGGTGGCTCTTTTTTTTGGATGAAAAATTCTCAAGAATAATCCAGTCATTAGAATGACAGAATTGTTCTGAGAAGGACAGCGACTAATTTAAGGATTATTAATCCATGTGTTTGCTATAATTCCAGGAACTTCCGTCCCAGAACAAACGATAACCCAGCGGTGCAACAGAACCACCTTTTTCGCTGTGCGGCGAGATTCATTTCGGGCCCATTATCTGGAAGGCTGAATCTATTCCTGCATCCTTCAGGGTGTCTGGCGGACTCGGTCCAGAGTCCTCGCCCTGATTTTGGGGTCAGGGAAGGGACACCCTCTCCTTGGCTGAAGTACGCAACCTTCTCTGCATCCACACAGCCTCGTGGATGTCATTCTGCTTCTTTCCATCCGGGGTCACAGCCCTTGGAACCCAGGCCACAGTAGTAACGGGCCAACATCCTTTCCCCTATTCAACGAGGGAGGCGGCTGCTGAGAGATGCTCTCTGGGCAGCCGAAGGATGCTGAGCGTCCCCAACGCTTCACACCTATCTTTGGAAATGGATGGAATTAATTCATGGTGAGGAGCAAACGGGTGGGAGTTTCTTTGCTCAAAAGTCCATGCCTTTCACTGGGCAGTTTTGAGGGTGAACCCACGGGCAGGTCTAACAAGGACAGGAAACGAGAGTGCCCACCTGGCCAAGATCGGGCATCCGCCTCATGGCCCAGCACCTACCTACCTGCATGGCCAGCACCAGACGGATGAGGTCCACCACCACCTCCTCGTTGGCCAGCTCGATGCTGATGAGGGCCAGCAGGGCGTAGAGGGCCTCGTAGTGAGCCCGGGCGTTGTTATCCTCCTTGCACGTCAGATACATGTGCCGATAGAGCTGCTGGGAGTGCTGTGGAAATAAGAGGACAGTGGCTTCCTGTGAGGCAGAAAGCCATCCTGTGGTCTTCTGCTCTTAAAAACAGCGCCCCAGGAGGTTCCGGACCATCAAGAACGTTGTCCACGGAGCCGATGAAGACAGAAAGCCGCTGGTGCCTTTTTAAGCTCAAGGAAATGTCAGAGATGGCCTTCTGCTTTGGGGAGCCCATATAGGCCCCCAGCCGAACAGGGTCGTCACAGTTAGAAGCCAAATGGATGGCGCCCGTCCGCCTCACACGGGCACAAGGGCTACCGTCTGACTTGGGCCACCAAAGCACCCCCTGGATCGCCAAAGTCTCCAGAAACAGAAACTGGCAAAAAGGAGCGGAGAACGTGTGAGACAAGGCAGGCGGCTTTTTCCCTACATTCAAGGCTCCCACTAAGCGGGCGGCGGGACACTCACGAAAACAGCTTTTAAGCTTCAAAGATTGTCTTTAACGGATGTGAGCCGTCTGGGGTCCTTTTTGAAGGAGAGATTCGGGGTCAAAAATACTCCGAACGAACGTATCCAGTCAATGTTTTTTATACAAGCAGCTTCCGCGTGGTGTTATCATTGGGGTGGAATCCTTCCTCACCCGTCAACCCCCTCGGCTTAAAGGCATCACAGAACTGCTGAAACAGCTCAGAATCCTTCCTCACCCGTCAACCCCCTCGGCTGAAATGCATCACAGATCGGCTGAACAGCTCCCTGGCTGTGGAGCCAGAGGTTGGGAGTTCGATACCCACCCCCACCCCACCCCGGCCCTCCTTGACAGTGGCTGGTCTTGACGACGTTCGATACCCACCCCCACCCCACCCCGGCTCTCCTTGACAGTGGCTGGTCTTGATGATCCATGGGGCCCCTTTCCAGCTCTGCAGTTCTAAGGTGGTGATGATTACAAAAACTTACCATTATTATTTTTGGAATTAACCACCACCCACCCACCCCTTGGATCCCACGACCAGCTGAGCTATTTTGGGACATGCAGGTTAAAAAAAAGAGAGAACTTTTTTGAACTGCAAAACCACTGTCCCCCATATCAAGTCAACATTTCTCCAGCGTTGGCACCAACGCTACCTTTATTGAAAGGATATCAGTGCAGTAAATGAGTAAGCCAGTGAATGAATGAATGAATGAATGAATGAATGAATGAATGAATGTCTTGTTGATGCTACCCAGAGCGACAGGTGGGTCACATACGGATCTTCACATTCACTATAACCTCCTCTGGATTTGCTTTGGGGAGCCTTGTTAGCTAATCAACCCTGGATCTTCTACCTGAAAGTTTTTGGGAAACCCCAGCCTTTTCTCCAAAGCACCTGCTTGTACCTTTTTCATGAAGACGGTGTCCTGGCGGGAACACTTGTCCACTTTCAGCTTCAGGATGGAGATGTCGTTGATGGTGCTGTTCAAAAAGAGAGAGAGAGAGACCAAAAAAAGAGGAGATGAAGACAGAGGGAGTTGTGGTGGATGCAAGCCAGAACAAGGGACAGGGAAAAGGGGAAGATGGCGCTCGGTCTTTAGCAGTCGCTGGAAACGTTCCAAGCCTCTGATAAAACTATAGTCACATTATCTAACAAAGCAGGCAGCTGACAAATCAGAGCCCAAGTACTTGTAGTGGAAGGCTTAAAAATATTTTGATTTCAGCGCCGAGCTGCGATCGCTCACAATTTTTCATGAATGTGACGGATTGAGAAATGATTGAAAAGGTGGGCCTTTTTTTCCCTTGCATTCCTTTTTCTGTTTTCCATTGTCCTTCCTCTCAAGTGGCTGCATCGGCCAAGCTGACTGGCTACACCGCGTCCTGCTCTGAGATCCCTAACTGGCAGGACCCATCCACACATCTCCAACCCAGGGATCAGCAGAAGCAGCTGCTGGCAGTGAAACTAGAGCAATGAAGTACTGTACAGTGGTGCCCCACATAACGAGCAAGTCGTTTAACGACGAATCCGCATAGCGATGTGTTTTTTGCAATGTTTCTAATGGTAAAACATCACTTTGCGATGATTGGTAAGCGTTTCGCTTACCGATTTTCGCATAGCGATGTTTTTTTAACAGCTGATCGGCGGTTCCAAAATGGCTGCCGGGTAAAGAAAATGGCCACCCGCTGTGTTTTCGCGCCCTTTCCTCGCTTACTGGGCAGCGAAAATGGCAGCCGCATGGAGGATTTCTGCATAACAGTGAGTTTTTGCCCATAGGAACGCATTAAATGTGTTTTAATCCGTTCCTATGGGCTTTTTTGCCCCGCATAGCAATGAATCCACATAGCGATGATTTTTTTGCAACAGATTATCTTTGCTATGCGGGGCACCACTGTACTCTGACGGAGAAGCAGGGGTGACCGAGTGGTGCAATTTGACTTTATTTCATTCCATTTTTAATTTGCAAAGTATTTTTAACCTATCCAAAAAGTCTAACTCGTTCCACATGGTGTAGCCATGAATAACACAACTGATTAACCTTTTAAGGTACCAAAAGTTTCTTGGTGGGTTTTTTCTTCTTCAAAAGACTCACAAGGCTGTATTCACGTGTGTGGATGTAGGGAGAAATACAGGCAGTCCAAAAACCTATCCACACCAGCAATCAAATACAGCCTTATTTCAAATACATACTGCAGAACAGAGAGATTCACGGGAAACGTGTTTGTGTGCCAAGGGCTCTGAAACTAGCCATGAAAATTAAGGAAATGGACTTTTGCCGTCAAGGAAAGGTAACCACAGAAACATGTGTGAAAGCTGTAATGGTTGGACAAGGACGTTTGTAATATCACTGCTCACACTGTCAAAGATGGATGATTATGATACGATCCCCAGTGAGTGGCATAGTGGTAAATTGGGAAAGGCGGGGGTGTGTGTCATCATGACAGTTCCCACAGCCACGCCCCTTAGGACCAGGAAAGTCTCAAAATGCAGGAATCAATGGGGGGTGTCTTTTGTAAAGTTAATGGCTCTTAATGGCCAATTTAAGAGCAAATCACCCTCAACTCTTTTGCATTACAACAAGGAAAGTTTCCAGTAAGATTCTTGCCAATATTTGTTCCTCTCCGAGCTAACAGGACTGTGGCTAAGCGCAGAGGGAACATAGAAGTCTCTCTCTCTCTCTCTCTCTCTCTCTCTGTGTCCCCTCTGAACCAGAAAGGCCGTTGGCTTCACCCATTGCAAGCCCTGGTTTTTACTCCCCTACTCTCTGTCCCACTCCACCCCAAACAAGAGGCAAGGCCTGCCCACCTGATGGTCTGGAACTTGTGCTTGTTTCCGTGGCGGTCGATGAAGCTGATGAGAATCTGCAGGACAAAAAGGCGGATTTCGGGGTCGTCCATCAAAGCCACGGACAGGAGCCTGTCCAGGAAGGAGCTGGGCAAAGCGGTCATCATGTTGCTGCATTGGAACCCGGTGGAAACCTGGCAACCACACAGGGATCATCTCCGTTAACCAGTGCCTCCCCGGCTGGACTGCGATTTCATTTGGAATTTAATTCAGCGGCATGCCACTCTGCCCCGTGGGTGATCCTTTTTTTCCAGGGTTACCCGGATATACTCAGAAGTGGTTTCCCCTTCCCTTCTTCCTGGGTGCCCTGGGGCAACAGCGCATCTGTCCCAAGGCTACCCAGGCTGGCTCTGGGGCCAAAAGCACAACGTTCCTGCCATGCCATAGTTCCCTCCCCACCAGAAACTAGTGTGATGATCATAATAACCATAGAACGGCAGAGCTGGAAGGGACCCTCTGGAATCACCGAGTCCCGTCCTTGCCAAGGAGGTCCAAGTGGGGGGGGGGATCGAACCCCCGACCAATGGGCTCCACAGCCAGAGGCTTAAATCGCTGAGCTCTCCAGCCGTTCTCTAACCGGGTGTTTCTGTTCCCTACCTGCAGGAGGGATTTGAGTAGCATGATCTGCGTCAGGCGATTCCTGTTCTCCCTAAGGAAAGAAAATATGCAGGTTCAAAGCCCCAACGGGGAAAGTCAAGCGTAACCGAAAACCTACAGCAGCAGCAACCCCCCCCACCACAGATCTACGTCATTTCATCTGCTGGACGTAACACGGTGTATCCGGTGGGATCAACGAACGAACAACCAAACCGTACACAGTTCGTATAAACTTTTTTTGCGGATGCGTCTCGGAAGGAGGAGAGCTTCCACTCCGGCTGAGGGACACATTTTAGTGTCTCCTGAAGACCAGGTAGAGGCTGGAAAGAGTCAACCCTCAAGCTTTCCGGGTGCGAACGAGGCAGGAAAGGAGGAAAAAGGGAGGGAAATGGCTTCACCT